AATTCAACTACCATTCTAACCAGTTTCACACCCACCCACATAATGTTGGGCATGGAAGCAGCTTTGAAACCTGAGAACATTTATTTCGTTTTGCACAAATTCTCTGAACTTGACAAAATATAACCAACAGTATGTTCCACAGTACCAAAACCCCACCACCGAACGAAAACCTCCCCAGAAGAGGGGTCCATCTATCCTAAATACACCCGGTGTCCCACACAGCTACTCTCAGGGTTCTCATAGCAAGGAAGCATCCCCCCCCTGGCCTGGGGGATGGTCCATGTTTCTTGATCAAGACCTTCAGGCCACAGAGCAGCCACAGTGGCACATGGTCTTCTGGTGCCGGGTCTTATTCTCAGCCTCCTTTGCCATGGCCTCCTGGACCTCCTGGACCTTCTGGATCTCGTGGATGAGCAGGGCAAAGGCCTCCTCTACACCTTGCCGCGTTTTGGCTGAGGTCTCCACGAAAGGGGCCCCCCAGCTCTTGGCTAGATCTATAGCAGCAGCATGAGCATCTCCAGCGGTGGTCACAAGGTCGCACTTGTTGCCCACAAGGACGAGGGGCCGGGTATAGTGAGGGCCCCAGGTGGCCCGCATCTGCTGCAGCTGGGTTAGAGATGACGGGTCATCAAGGGCGAAGACACCCAGCACACCATCCCCAACAGCCAAGCACTGGTCACGCAGGGCCTTGTGAGTGGGTTGCCCAGCTGTATCCAGCACATTCAGAATGTAGCCGCCGTGGTCCAGGGTCACCTCCTTCCAGTAGGAATCCTGGATCGTGGGGTCATGGTCTTCCACAAAGCACTGGTGGTTCAGCTGGATGGTGAGTGCACTCTTGCCCACCCCACTCGCGCCCACCACCACCGCCTTGTACTCCGGCAGCTTCTTGCCCTTGGAAGGTGCCGGAGTCTTGCGACTCTCCTCCTGGCTGCCAGGGCTCCAGGTGCCCAGGCCCAGATCAAGCATGTTAGGCTTTTTGGGGCGCGCCATGCTCAGGGAAGAGATGCAGACAGCAGGCCCTGCGACTGGGAAGAGAAGAAAGACAATAGGGGAGCGGGGGCTGGGCAGTAGTTTAGGTGAGGAGACCATGGGGGCAAGGGGCAGCTGGTGTCACTGAGTCAACAGTTACTGGGTGCCCAGTGTGTGCTGATCACCTTCTACTATGCTATACACATTATTTATGTTGTTTATTTTCTTTCATTCCCTTCTACTACATAAGCTCTGTGAAGGCAGGGATTTTAAAAACAGCTTTGTTGAGATACAGTTTATATACTATAAAGTTAACCTAGTTAATGTGTACAATCAATGACTCAGTATTTTCACGGAGTTGTGCAACCATCAGCAATCTAATTTTAGAAATTTTCTTCACCCCAAAAGGGATCCCCCCCGCCCCCCCACCCACCCATTAGCTGTCCTGCCGCACTCCAGAGGGATGGCAGGGATTTCATTGGCTTGGTTTTGAGTTTTTAACTGTTGAACCCCAGCCCAGCACAATGCCTGTCATACAGTAAGACCTGAGCAATATTCCTGCCCCTCCCAGGGAGTATATGTTCTAAAAGGTGGGGACAATGAACCAAATAAATAAGCAAATTATGAGGTCTGTTAGCCATTGTCTAAAATTCAGTCTTTATTACCTATTCAACATACCGCTGCCAGGAACCTACTGTGTGGCAAGGTGGGGGAAAATAGATAACAAACCTTGGCCCTTAAGAATGTGCCGATGTAGTTAGGAAGACAGAAAACAAAAAAGATATTTCAGCAACAGGTGATAAGCATGCAGAGGTGCTTGGTTAATGTTAGCATTTTTGTTGTGATTCAATTTTCATTCATTACTGCGAGAAGCTCCTGGCATACCAGGTATCATGATGGACGTGGGAATGGGGGTAGTGGGAGGTGTGGGGGTGGGATGGGGCAGTGAACAAAATAAAGTTCCTGTCCTTGGGAGGATTAGACTCTAAAAGTGAGAAAGAGACAGTAAACAAGGTAAGCAAGTAAATTACCAAGCAATTAGAAGAGCATGGCCACACAGCAGGCGCTCAGTAAAATGAGGGTTATCTATTAATAGCAAATCACCGTTAACTCATTCAATACACATCCTGATCTTAGTTCAGGAAATGCATCTTAATGGCTGCTCTCCCAGGAAACCTGGGAGAAGTGGCAGTTTGGGGGTAGATTGGGGGGGATGGTGTTTCTGTTGTTTCGGAGCCAGAGGTCAGTAAGGTCTAGCTGTGTGGTCCTCAGCCCAGAGAGATCCCTGAAAAGTTATTGGATGTGCTTCCCCAGAAAGGGGGCATGATGAGGAAAGAGTTAAACAGGACAGAGTTCTGGGGGTCCCCAAAGTTGGGGAGACAGAGAGAAGGAGATTTAGCTCAGAGGACAAACTGAGAGGAGCGGGTGAGGGCGGTGGATGTGGAAAGGAGAGGTCGGATTCTGGTATATTCTGAAGGCGGAATTAACTGGCAGGTGAAATTCAGAGGCAGGGGAGGGGTTCAAGGATGACTCCTCGGTTTGGGGCCGGGACAGATGGAAATCTGAGGGTTCCATTATTTGAGGGTGGGGACATTTGAGATGGGCTCTTCCCTCTTGGCAAGTCGCCATGGCTGTGACTATGACCCTAAAAAGCACTAGGTATTATTTACCGAGAACCCATCTACCTGCCGGCCATGCCGACACTCAGCCCTCCTCACACCCTCCTGAGGTGTGGGCTAGCATCACCGCAGCCAGCAAGGGAGGCTCGGAGAAGCCGGAGGTCCCACAGCCCATCAGAGGTCAACGGAAGCCAGGTCTCACCTTCGCAAGTAATACGGAACCACTTGCTGCGCCAAGTGCTATTGGAGTGTCATTATGGGGTTCTTAAGACCCTGAGACCCCCCTCCCCCACCCTACCGCACCCCACCCCCATCCCCGCTGGCAGGACCGCATCCTTTGTGTGTCCTTTGTGTTCGCCTAACTACCTGTGGGGGGTGGGCTGGGGGTGGCAGATTCAGAGAGAGTGGGGGGTGGGGGAACCACCCCAAAGTGAGCCCTTACAAGCCCCCATTTCAGGGCTAGCCCGGGGCAACCTCCACCGCACTTCCCCGTGACTAAGTCAGGTGCAGTGGAAAGTTTGGGGCAGGGAGGAGTGACTCCCACATTTTACCCTAAAGCCCTGACCTTGTGCTCAGTCTTCTAGACCACCTCGGACAGTTTTTCTTCAGGCGGGACAGGGTAGGGCACGGGAAGGGACCCCTCACCCCGGGGCTGGGTCTGCGGGCCCGCAAACCCGTTCCCGCCTGCACGGTCCCCGGCCCAGCTCGGCCTCCAAAAGCCGGAGGCCTGAGGGGCTGGGGAGTGGTGGCGGCCCCCTGAGGAGAAGGGGCAGAAGAGGAAGGTCCCCGTAAAAAAACACCTCAGTCGAGCTCCTACAAGCCGAGGTGGAGAGCCCTCCCAGGTCGGCGCTTGGCTTGGCTGAGGGCCCGGCCAGCCGCTCACCTCAGTCCGGAGAGGAGTTTGCGCTGGGACCCGAACTCGCTGCAGCTCTGACAGGACCAAAAGTGGAAGAGGTGCAACACTAACCCCGGAGCAGAGAGCGGGGGGCGGGGGATACGCATGCGCCTGACCCGCCCTCAGGCCCCTCCACCGGCAGCTCCCCTCCCCTCGCCTCGCCTCGCCCCCCGCCCGGAGTGAGAGGGTGAGCGCGGGTCTTGCCCCTGCCTGCTGGTGCAGCCAAGGAAGTCTGATTGGGGTGCGCAGCCCGCGGCCAGACCTCCACGCGCGTGCCCTCTGCGTGGGGCTGCACCTCGCCCTTACCTTGCCCCATTAGGGCTGCGGTTTTGGGTTTTTACCGAATGTGGGGTGTCGGATTTTTTACTTGAGTGGCTAGCCTTTGGGAAATGTTCTGAGAGGCCTCTTTGAGGCCATGGAGCCTGCCCTGCCGCAAGCAGGCTTTTTTGGTAGCTTGGGAGAGGGTTATCTGTTCCTGGAGGGAAAGAGGTGCCAGAGCGAGTCAGGTCCGTTCCTGGAGGGAAAAAGTGGCAGAGGAGTGGTTATTCTGTCAGGGCATAAAAAAACCTGGTATGAGGTGGACATGTGCCAAGGCTAAAACATTCCCCAGACTCCCTTGCAGCTATCATAGTCAGTCTGACCAATGAGATGTAAGCAGGGATTACTGGAGGGGGCATCCAAAATGTTCCTTAAAGGAAGGACTGAGCTAGCCACAGCTCCCTTCCCCCTCCCCTCCCCCATTCCCTTTTTTTCTTAACTGGGTGGGGCTCTGGTGATCATTTTGGGGCCATAATGTGGCCATGAAGAAAAGTCCAGAAATCCTCAGCCTTGGACTTGAGTTGCCAAATTCTCATGTGAGAGAAATAAAACCTCCAAACTATCCTCCAATTCCCTGCCCTTGGTCCATAGTAGGTTACTCCTTCCCCCAAGAAGCTACTACCTATGGTTACGAAATTTAAATATGTTAAACATGGACACGCCCCTCACCCAAATCAGGACAAAAAGACAGGTGGGGAGACTGGGGCCTGGTGAGGACACTTCCTGATAGTTTTTTTGCCTTCTCAGCCCAGGGTGTAGCTGGGACTGGCTGTGAGGCTCCTATTTCTAAGGCACTTGTTTTCTCACGGATTCTACCATTTAATCTATAGTAGAGCCAGTCAAGCTGCTCTATTTCCAGTTAGCTTTTTGAGTGCTGGCTGGGCAGGGGGTTGACCTGAAACACCCATGCCTTCATTTCTTCTATATTCATTAGCCCTGTTGGCCAGGAGTGTGGGGTTCTCCTTCCACTCAAGATTAAAAAGACTTTCTCCAGCCCTGGTCGGTGTGGCTCGGTTGACTGTCGTCGTGTGCACTGAAAGGTTGTGGGTTCGATTCCTGGTTGGGGCATATGATTGGGTTGTGAGCTTGATCCCCCATAGGGGGCATGCAGGAGGCATCCAATCAATGTTTTTCTCTCTCCCTTCCTTGTTTTCTAAAAATCAATAAAAATATTTAATTAAAAAAAGACTTCCTCCAGGTTTTGTAACAGCTTGTACTTTATTACATATGCAACCACACTATACCTGCCAGTTGCTCCCCACTCCCTCCAAAGGATCATCTTCTTGATATCAGCCCCTTCTTGAGGCAACTAAGCTATCCCTTTCTTTCTGGGGCAGAACAGATGGGAGTCCCTAGAGCAGGCAGTGGGCAGGGGGAGAGCTACAATTAATCATCATAGTCCTCTTACAGGTATTTAAACTTAAATCAGCACCCTTGGGGGATTGTAAAGGGTTTTCAGAAAGGATGGATGAAGCTGCCCCTCGTCCAAGGTACAGGTTGGAATGAACTAATGCTGGTCTATCTTGGGCCTCAGAAGGTGAAGCAGAGGAGCACGTTCTGGGAGTTAGTGTGAGTGGGGCATGTCTTCCCCAAACTTGTTCTGGTGGGCGACGTTCTTCACATCTAGGAGAGTCTGAGGAGGAGGCAAGAGACAGTTGGTAAGAGCGAGTGAGGACCCCCTCTACCTCAGCCAGGAGACTGCCCCCACTCCAGCCCTCAACCACCCTGTCTCCTGGACTAGCCCACATGCAGAAGGGCCTCCATTCTCCCCTTATCTGATCACAGAAGGTGTGTGTGTGGTGGGAGTGAATGTGTACACATTAGAGGCTCCTGCCTAGGGCTTACCTGGTGGTGAACATAGGCCTGACATGGGTAACACCAGGTAGACAGGTCAGTGTAGCTGAGGACCAGTGGGTGGCCTGAGCTTTCATGGTGCTGCATCATATGGGCATTGATGTAACGGCTGCAGTAGACCTGAGGTTAGGAAGTGAATGTTGGGCAGGGATCAGCACCCACCTGTGGTTTGTTCCTGGGCCAACCTCAGCCCCATCCCCATCCCCATTCTCTGTTGCATACCTCATAGCAAGACAGACACACCCAATTCTCCTGAAGTGCTCCACAGTCCTGACAAGGTTGGGTCACATCCAAGCCTGCTTCAGGAATGGGGTGTACTGCCACCAAATGGGGACACCACAGCAGTGGTGTCACGGCATAAAACATGGCCTGGGGGGGGGACATGGACCAGGTGGGTAAAACGGAGTAAGCTAGGGACTTATCTCCCTATTATATGCCCCTGTGTCATATGCTCCTACCTGGAGGTACAAATGGGTAAAAAAATAAGGAAGCCACAGTTCCATCCACGCCCTGAGCTCACCTGGTCAATGTCCCCAAAGGCCTGCATTGGCACCGAATCATCCACGTCTTGACCCCCAGCCGCCTCTGGTAGCCTCTCCTCTTCTGGGATCTCAGACTCTGGGGCCTCCTGGATACACAGAGGCAAGAGACGTATCTGAGAGTCCTGATTCTTGACCCTTCTTTCCCCCTACCTGGGTGTGCTGGTGGGCCTTACCTGAGCCTTGTCGTCTAGTTCCAAGGTCCTGAGATTCCCAATCAGCGTACTGAGGGATATCTGGGATGTGGCTCCTTGCACAGGTGAGGTAGGAGGAGTCTGGTTGTCAGTGCTTGAGGCTTGAGGGGTTTGGATCAGCTTGGCTCCTCCCACAGCCTCCTCTGTGGTGGTCTGGTCCAGGGTGGCTCCCCCTGTGGCTGCCTCTGAGGTAGTCTGGTTCAGTGTGGCTGCCTCCGAGGTGGTATGGTCCAGCATAGCTTCCCCCGTGGCTGCCTCTGAGGGCTGGTCCTGAGTGAGCTCCACAACAGCTGGAGTGGACTCTTGCACAGATGCTGCTGATGTGGCCTTCCCCAGGCTTTCATCCAGAATGCTCTCTTCTAGCATGGTCAGCTTCTTAGCCGATCCAGGATTGGCTGGTTGGGGTGCCTCCTTGGTGATCGACTTAGAACTGAAGGATTCTTCCTTGTCTTCGATCTCTGAAACCATGGGAGCGAGATCCTTGAGTATGAGCACTATCCCCTCTCCTGCCTCTAATCCCTGCCCTCCCCTGAGCCCCCCATTGTCCCCAATTCCCCATGCCCACTCACTCGTGGTCCGCAAGCTACGCCAGTATCTGCGATGGGCTTGGATGGTATCAGTGATTGATTCCAGGGCCCCTAACAGTGGGGGCCGAGACAGGGTCAGCAGGGGTGGCGGGTCCCCAAGGAGGGTGCGGGTACAGGCAGCCATGGACTCGGAGATGGATGCCAGGTTATAGCCACCCTTTTTAAGGAGAAAGAGAGTGAAAGGTATGATGCAGTGTCCTCAGGGAATTTGGGAGGCAAGATATCCTGCTTCCCAATCCTGCCTCAGGGCCCTGTAAGCCTAGAAGGTGGCAACTGGAGACAAGTGACTAGAACCCACATTTGTCAGATGGCAGTACCCATTGTGTGAGGTAGTTGTTGAGGGGGATAAACTGCGATGTGAAGTGCAAGGTAATAATAACCACAATAACAATAATGCTGATGGTAACACCAGTAATAGCTACTGTTCATTAAGTACTTGCTATATGCTAGGCCCTATTCTAAGTACCTTATGTTATTAACTCAATCCTCAAACCACCCATGCTCAATCTGTGTAGGAACGTGTCCTCACAGTACAGGAACCCACACAGTCGTCCCTGCCCCAAAACTAGCACAGGAACAACTGGTCTTTCTCCCCACATGAACCCCTGTCCTGACCTGGTATGGGAACCCCCTTTTCTCACACTCTATAGGAAACCCAGTCTCTGCTGTTATTATAGATAAAGAAACTGAGGTTCAGAGTAGTTAGATGACTTGTCTGAGGTCCTAACAGCTGGGAAGAGGCAGCGCTGGGCTCAGAACCTGTGCTGTCTGATAAAAGAGTCCATGTTCTTAACCATCACTTTGCAGTGCCACAAGCAGTCTGGGCACACTGAGACTGTTTACTAACCGATCAATCTCTCTAGGACTTACTGTCTTCATCTGTGAAGTAGTTAAAAAAAGCACATAAGATTTGCTAGTGTATCAACAGTGCATAATAATGCGAAGTTTTAGCACTTCTGCAGTGCTTACTGTATGCCATGCACTCTTCCATCATTAGCCAGCCCCATCTTACAGATGAGGAGACTGAGGCCCAGGGGTGGGAACACTGAATGATTTACAAAAAGTTAGTGAATTTATTTTATCTCAGGAACTTGATGTAGTTCAAGTAGTGATGAAAAGGATAGGCTCTGGGGTCAGGCTGCTTGGATTCAAGCCCTGGCTCTGCCACTATTAAATGTGTGGCCTCTGGCTAGTCACTATATCTCTCCGTGCCTCAGTTTTCCTGGTCTTGAGAGAGGAAAATGACGAGGTCAGCAGACCTCACCTCAGAAGGCTGCTTTGTCAATGAATTAATAATGCCTGTAAAGTGTCAGAAGAGTGTCTTGCACATAGTGAGTGCTCAATGGAAGTGGTCAATGCTGGTGTTATTATTAATGCCCAGTATGTGCCAGCAATCCCAGGTGGGGACACTCAAAGGAGATTTTAGGAAATTGCCCCTCGTGTTGCAGTCGGCTAGCAGAAAGGGCAGGACTCCAAGTCTTCCCAACTACCCCCCACAGTGGAGAGAGGGACCAAGGGAATTACCTCTAGGATTAGGATAATTCGGCCACTGGCAAGGCCCATCAGCAGGTGAGTGAGGTGGGCATAGCCCTCAGGTGACAGATGGCAGCCCCCCAGCGGGTCGCCCCATGCCGCATCAAAGCCAGCTGAGACCAGCACCAGTTCTGGGTTAAACTGAGGTAGGGAGAGAAGAAATGCATGGACATGAGGGAAGGCGGGCTTGGGTATATACTAGGTGAGGTAGATCCAGAGACACTGAGACAAGGACAAATGAAGACATGAAGATGCAAGTCAAAGAGATGGAGACATGGGACTTGGAGGCTGGGAGACAAAAGATCAGAGCCCTGAAACCAGGAAGGGAAGATGTAGAGACACAAGACAGAGAGACATGGAGAAGATGGACAGTTAAGGACACATCAGACACAGATTTAGAGACATGAAACACTAGAAATGGGCAGATGGGGACTAGAGGCAGAGTCCATAGTAGGTACTCCTATGAGACGTGAAGATTCAGCCATCAAGAGATGGTGACATGAAACACAGAGAGACAGAGATATGTCCTCACAAACATGCCCAAGGGTGAGATAGAGAGATACATGCTCCTCTCCCTGGGTCAAACAGGTGATACATGTGCAGAAGTTACAAGGTTTTATATATGGTGCCAAAGAGAAGTGCACACATACTTCCATCACAGAAAATGACAATCAAGTGCCACACACAGAAGATGGTCACATACCTGCACACAATTAGACAGTCCCATATGGACGGGACTGCACTTCCTACTAGTCATGCACACAGTTTCTCACAGAGGGGACAATAATCCACAGTCACCCCTGCACAGATACAACCGTACATGTGCCATCATTACATGGTAACAACAGTGTCACACACACACACACACACACACACACACACACACACACACACACATTGTTGCACCCACAGGTGGTCACTTACACACATAGTCACACATGATTTCAGTTATACACACACAGAAGGTAGTCACAGCCATTGTGCATCAGACACATGCACACATCTGAACATGTGCGTCTGCACAGGGGTCAGAGATGACGCATGTATCAGCCTTCTGAGTTAGTCACACACATACAGTCTGCCACAGACAGACTTACAGTTTACACATGTAGACGGTGGTTACCTACAGCCACTCATGCAGAACCAGGCAAATGTATACAGGCCACCTCCAGTCAGAGATAGACACACACAAACAGCCAGAAAGATGACTGTCACACACAGCCTCCCATGTGCAGAAAGTCACAAACCGGCTGTCACAGAAAGAGCACCCATGACACAGAAATGGTAGAAACAGCCACTTGTGCAGTGTCTCACATATACTCAAACCCCTCCCTAGCTTGCACATGCAGTTCTACAGAGACGGCAGTCACTTGGGGCCACCGTCACATACAGACAGCCACTGGTGATGGTGTACACACAGGACACACAGCTAGGAACACGAAGACCACCCCCGCACACCAGGAAGTCCCTCACAGTTGCACACAGAGAAGGCAGTCACATATGCAAAGGCCATCACAGCCACTCCCCCTCCCCTTTGCTGTTTGTCCCACAGGATCAGTCACCCAGAAGTCAGACACATGTGCACTCACTGCTTCCCACACAGCTGTGTCACATACATCCTGAAGCGTACCTCATAGGCAATGGGCAGCACCAGACGATGCCAGGCAGCCAGGTACTCAGAGTCCCCCATGCGAGGCCCATTCCAGGCCACGTTGACGGTGAAGCCTGTGCCTGCGGCCCGGCCCACCTGGCTGGGGGCGCCCTCATCCCCCATGGGAAAGAAGGTGCCATAATCATAGCGGTGCAGGGAAATGTAGAGCACACTGCCAGAGACAGGGTGGGGAGGGGTCCATGCTTGGTTAGCAGCCTGGCACCCCTGAAGCACGGCCCACCCACTTCCCTGGCTGCACCTACTCCCTGCCCCAGCCCCTCACCTGGGGTCGTCCTCAAATATGTGCTGAGTTCCATTGCCATGATGCACATCCCAGTCTACAATCAGGATCCTGAGGACCGAGAGCTTGTCAGTTACTCAGGACACTGGCCCCCTGGGAGAGGGCAGGGGCCAGACCACTGGGGCCTGTCTGCAGGGGCATATATTGTGGGTCACCAGATACTAAGTCCTTAAAGTTTGTGGGTCCTATCAAAGTAAGGATGACAGTCGAGGCTGGCTCCTGAACAAGTACTCAGGGTCAGACCCCAGGCCCTATGTGGGTTAGCACTGGGGGCTTGGACCCTGGGTTCTATTGGGGCCAGAAATATGGGGAAGGGACCCTGGGTCCTGTTTCATAGCACCTGGATACCACAGTGTTGGGGTCTTTTCCAAGTAAGCACTGAGAGGCTAGATCCTCAGTCCTTTTCTGGGAAGTACTGGACAACTGGACCCTTGGATATTTCTGGGTAAGTCCTGGGGGCTGAACCATGGGGCCTGCTGAGTAAGCACTGAGCGGGGGGCGGGGGGGGGGTACAGGGAGCCCTTACCGCAGTGGATGCCCACTGATGGCCTGGGCATGGCGAGCAGCCACAGCCACAGAGTTGAAAAAGCAGAAACCGCAAGCAGCATCCTGCTCTGCGTGGTGTCCCGGAGGACGCACCAGGGCAACACCATTCAAAACCTGGGGGGAGGAGCAGGGAGCCAAGATCAAACCACTGCCCTCACTGCTTTCCTTCTCCTTGTCCCCTTGCTTGTTCTCTTCCCTTCCTCCCACTACCAGATGCCAGGGGGGCCCAGTCCGGTAGCCACATCCTCATGGCTGCACTTCCCAGTGAGCAAGGCCTCGGGTGAGCAGGGTTCTCCTCCTCATCCCCCTTTTCCTCAGGCCCTGCCCAACTTTCTCAGAGTAGCCTCTCTCCCGCCCCCAGGACCGCCTCTTCCAGCCAGAGCCCCACCCCAAAGCAGCCATACCTCTCCCGCCAGCACAGCCTCCACAAGGCAGCATGTGGCACCAGTGGCCAGCTGGGCACTGGCGAAGGTGCTGGGGCAGATGTAGATGGAGTCAAAGCTGGCGCTCTCACGGTATAGCTCCCGGGTTCTCATTTTTTCTGTGGCCCGTAGACGAGCCACGTACTCAGCACTGGAGGCACAGAGAGGGTATCAGGAATAGTCACGTGGTTCTGTCCCCTCCAAGGCCCCTCTTGCGACCCGCAGCAGCAATTCATACCCAGGCTCCAGCTCCCAGGTGGCATGTATGCACTGAGGCCCCATCCCACCCCCAGGCACGAGGGTCTGACCTATGGCAGGTGAGCAGCTCAGCGTCTGTGGCAGGACGTGCAGGCAGCGTGAGACAGCGCCCAGCAAGGCCCAGCTCCTCCAGACGGGACATGATCCGTGAGACACGCTGGGGTACCTCGGGGTGTTGGCTGGGAGGTGGGGACACAGAGGCAGGGCTTAATGTTTGAGGAGGTGAAAAACCCCTGCCCACTTACACTGAGCCCAGTGCTCCAATCGCATACTTGTCCCACATGTTGTAGTGATCCATCATCCGCTGGTCATAGACCAGCCCTGTGCGAGACTGAAATATTGGCCACATTGGTATTGGGAGCGCAGGGGGTGGCCATGGTCCCTCCTCTTCCTCCTCCTCATTGTCCCCATCCTCGTTGTCCTCGTCCAGGGAGTCACCTGCAAGGGGAGACCACACTCACCCTACTCCCCCGCCCTGGGTCATGTAATACTCAGGAACTCAGTTTACTCAAATGTAAAAAGGGGTGGGAGGCCTGAAACCAGGACCCAGTGAGAGAGAGGGACTGACCCTCTCCCACCAAGTTAGGCCAGGAAAGTCAGAGTAGGTTCTAGAAGACAGTCTTGTCCCATGGCTCATTCCATCCCTGACCCCCACCCCCATTAAACCCACTCCCTGCCTCCTACCTGATCTCACAAGGATCTCCCAGAAGGGCGCCAGGGCTTCCAGAGTGCAGGACAGTGATGACTGGGCACTGGAGGGCAGGGGAAGGGAAAGAGTGACCAAATGGCCCCAAGGTGGGCAGTGAGGGTCGCACTTTCTCCCTCCACCACCTGAGCTTACCTCCGGCAGGGGGCCCCAGGGGACTCCAGCATGGGGCAAGGGTCACCCAGAAGGGTGTGGAGTGAGGCGCTGACTCCCTCAGCCAGGGAGCGAAGGTTGTAGCCACCCTAGGAGAATAGGGTGAGGGGTTAGGGAAGACCCAGATGTTACCAGGGAAGAGTAGTAGACACATGACCACTAGGGTGCTGACTACATGTTGAGCAACAAAGAATTTAGAGGGTGCTTCCTTTCCCTCACTAAACAGCGCTATAACATGACTACTACTACTATCATACAAGTCCAGTGACTTAGGCGAGGCTGTCCAGTTAGGAAGCGGAAATGCTGGGACAGGAACTCATGCTGGACTTGAAAGCTTTGTTATTATGTCCTCTAGGATTCATGGGCTCAGAGATGAAGTGAGTTACTCACCTCCAGAGACAGGATCAGCCTGCCTCCTGCCAGACCCATGAGCATATGGGTGAGCTGGGCAAACCCTGCTGGAGTGGCAGCCATTTCACCCTGGGGAGACATGGAGGGTCAGTCTGGCTCCAAGTAGCCCCCTTCTGCCTACCTGCCATTCCAGACAGCCCGCCTTACCTTGGGGTCCCCTTGGAGGGCATCAAATCCAGCGGCCACCAGGACCAGCTGGGGCTGGAACTGAGGGGGGGAAAGGACTACATGAGGCCACCTGTCCTCATGGCCCACCCCTCACTGTCACCCTGCACCAAATCATCCCAGACCCCCGGACCTCAAGGGCGACCGGCAGCAGGATTTGCAGGAAAGCAGCAATGTAGTCGGCATCTCGCATCCCAACCTGCAGACAGAGGCACACGATGGTGAGATGGGACGTTCTGCCCTCTGCCTTGAACCACTGAAGGGCAGGGGTGAGCTTCACTCTGGGGGCAACAAGTGGGCAGACACTGACCTGGTTCCAAGGCACATTGATGGTATATCCCTGGCCTTGGCCAAAACCTGTGGTGGACCAGTTAGAGGCCTTCAGGTGGGGCCAGAAGCGACCCTGCTCATAGCGGTGGATGGAAAAATAGAGCACACTGGGGGCAGAGAGAAAAAAGAGATTGGGGGATTGAGGAGTCAATGCACCAGACACTCCCAAAATACAGCTAGCACAGTTGGTTCAACCACTCATTCATTTTCTCATTGTTTTCCCCATTAAATATTTAATTCAAACATTCATTCATTTTTTCATTTGTTTACCTATTACATCACTCACTCATTCATTTCATCTCTTACTGGAACTCCTCCCTCGGCAAACACTGCTGCCCCCTCAATGCCCACCCAGGTCTAACGCTGAGATCCTGAGAGCTAGTGGATCTATCTCAGGCCCCGAGAGCTCCTTACACCATGGGGACACTAGCTCATGCTCACCCACCCACCTGTCCCTGTGTCCAAGGTGGTCACAGTAGGACAAACCCTGTGACTTTGGGAGGCCCACAGGGAACATGGGGCTTTAAAATGGTGGGAGCCAGCTAAGGCTGCCCAGAGCATCAGGCTGGGCTGGGGAGCTTGATGTTTCTCCTAAATAAAGTGGGAGACTGGAAAGTTAGAGTTAAGAGCTGGTTCTGTGTGTAGAGCTAGAGTGGGGGTGCTGGCTAGGGCTCCATGAGGCCAGTAAGGGGACAATTCCTTCTTCACAATACCTTACAGGCCACCTCTAGTACTTCTTTTATTGTGTAGGTGAGAAACAGAGCACTCAAAGCAGTGAGGGGGATTGACACACAGAACAGATATTGAAAAGACACAATGGTCCCTCCAGCAGGCTGTGGGAGGGCTTAATCCTGATTGAGGCAATCCAAATGAATAATCTCTTATCCATCCATCCATCGGTTCATCGCTCCCTGCCTTGTTCCAGGAAGGATTTAAGGCAGCTTTCTCCCTTTTTTAGGGAAATGTATGACAGTCCCATTTTAATGAATGTTAACAATGTAGTTGTACAATTTAATAAAACTGACATAAAAAGATTTATGAAATGAAGAAAAATGTATTGGGATTAGGGAATGAAATTTATATTAAACCTCTGGTATTGAGTAGGTGGGGAAATGATTGGGTTTTATTTTATTTTTACTCTGATAGGTAAATACCAGTTCTAATTTTTTTTTTTTTTTACCTAAGTTAGCCATTAAAGGAAGAGGAATACCCCATAGAACATAAAGATTATTATCAGGGGGAGAAAATAACTAAAGAAAAGATTTGAAGAAAGGCAACCCCACAAGAGAGCCACCAGAATTAAGAGAACTAACACTCAGGAAACTAAGCTTATAAAGCAAACAGAATGAAGTTTTAAAATAATTTTGAATGGCCCTGGCCGGGTAGCTTGGTTGTTTAGAGCATCATCCTAATATGCCAAGGTTGCGGGTTCAATTCCCAGTCAGTGCACATATAAGAATCAACTAATGAATGCATATATAAGTGGAATAACAGATCAGTATTTCTTTCTCTCCCCTCCTTCCTCTCTCTCTAAAACTCAATAAATAAAAAGGAATCAACCAATGAATGCATAAATAAGTGGAACAACAAATCAATGTCTCTCTCTCTTTCCCTCCCCACCTCCCTCTCTCTCTTCAAATAAATAAAAATTACAATAAATAAATAAAATATGTTTCACTTCCAATGAAGGAATGATGAACTGATAGCACAGGTTTACCTCCCCACTCTGCTACTATCCCAGTCAAAAGACATTAAAGGAATGTTAAACAAGTATCCACCCAGAAAGACAGAATGGGATAAAGGATTCAGACAATAAGAGACTTCAAAAAAATCCCTGGAAAGTACTTTGAGGCTCCGGGGGCCCAAGGGGATGACCTGGGGTTTCCCTTCTGGAGAAATCAAGCACAATTCCAGGTCACTGCACACAAAATCAGTCCTGAATAACCAGCTCACCCAATGGCCCATTCACTAAGTTTACTTCTTTCTTTTAACTACTTTGCTTTAATTTTCATTGTCTTCATAATAGTCTTTTAAGGACTGTCCAACTTGTCTCCACCCCAAAACCCTGCTGTTGGAGTTAAGAGACAGAGAGATGGGGAGAAGGGAGATTGAAGGGCATGGATAAATTCTTTTTCATTTATACAAACCAGATTACTCAGAAAGGAATGAAAATCACACTGACATTAGACATCTGACAGCAACACCAAATGCTAGAAAATAATAAAGCAATGTCTACAGAACAGCCAATCTAGATTAGATAATGAGTCATGGGAGCTCAGGATCTATGGGGAGAAGTGGATTCTACATAGTCTGTTCGACAGAAGACTAGATAAACAAAGACTACTTAGTAGTGTCTCCTACTGAGAAGGACTAGTTCAATTACTTTCTGCTGGAAGGGTAAGCTGGTGCTTTCTGGAGAAAAATCTGGCAGCAGATCTCAGACTTTCAAGCATGCCAACCCTCTGACCCAGTAATCCATGACTGGAAATTTATCCTATAGATATACTCAGAGAAGTGTAAAATTACATGCACTGTGTGTGTGTGTGTGTGGGGGGGGTGTCCTTCAGCCCAGCCTGCACCCTCTCCAATATGGGACCCCTCGGACATCCCTCTCACAATCCAGGACTGCTGGCTCCCAACCGCTTGCCTGCCTGCCTGATTGTCCCTAACCACTCCCCTGCCAGCCTGATCAACACCTAACTGCTCCCCTGCCAGCCCAATTGCCCCCAACTGGCCTCCCCTACTGGCCTGGTCACCCCCAACTGCCCTCCCCTGCTGGCCTGGTCGACCCCAACTGCCCTCCCCTGCAGGCTGGCCCCCCCAATTGCCCTCCCCTGCCGGCCCAGTCACCCCTAACTGCCCTCCCTCCCCTGCAGGCCCGGTTGCCCCCAACTGCCCTCCCCTGCTGACCTGGTTGCCCCTAACTGTCCTCCCCTGCAGGCCTGGCCCTCCCAATTGCCCTCCCCTGCTGGCCCAGTCACCCCTAACTTCCCTCCCTCCCCTGCAGGCCTGGTTGCCCCCAACTGCCCTCCCCTGCTGGCCTGGTCACCCCCAACTGCTCTCCCCTTCAGGCCTGGTCCTCCCACGAACTTTCCTCCCTTGCAGGTCTGGTTGCCCCCAACTGCCCTCTCCTGCAGGCCTGGTTCCCCCCAATTGCCCTCCCCTGCCGGCCCAGTTACCCCTAACTGCCCTCCCTCACCTGCAGGCCTGGTTGCTCCCAACTGCCCTCTCCTGCTGGCCTGGTTGCCCCTAACTACCCTTCCCTATTGGCCTGATCGCCCACAACTGCATTCCCCTGCTGCTATCTTTTGACCACATGGGGGCAGCCATCTTGTGCAATGGTGTGGCGGTCAATTTGGATATTACTGCTTTATTATATAGGATACTATTCACTGTAGAATTGTCTGCAATAGCAATACCTGGGAAGCATCATAAATGTCCCGGAGTTAAATGACCAGAGGTACAGCCATACAATGGAATACTGTACAGCCCTTACAAAAAAGAAGGTACTTTTTAGAAGTAGTAACATGGAGCAGTGTCTACCACCTGCTGTTAAATGCGAAAAGCAAATTGCCACAGACCATGTAGAGCAAGCATGTCAAACTCGCAGCCCACAGGCCGCATGCAGCCTACAACAAATATTTTTGCGGCCCAGCCAATATAACAGTATGTAAGAAACATTTTAATAAAAATTTTGTAACTTAATTTTTATAATATCCTGCTATACATAATTATTAATTATGAACTACAATGTTCGCTAATGACTGATTACTATAATTGTGTTGCATTCATTTCCCTTATGCGCTTTACGCGCAGGTGCACCATTTCTCTCCACTGATAACTAGCAAGCGAATATTTTAGCAGCCGGTTGCCACATCATTAGTCTTGTACTGACATGTGTGATGTGTGCAACAGGAAATATTTTGCTTTCGGAGAACAAGAAAAATAGTTTTATTTGCGTTACAGTTATTAATTTGTGCAGTTATTTAGTGTCTGGTAAGTTAATGTACAAGAAAAAATATTAATTTGTATTAAAATGTTCTATTATTTTATGTTAACGATGACTCATTTATTTCAGCCCTTTGTATTCAGCATGCCTCTACCAAAATAAACCTATGTTTCTATGAAAATTGAAGTTTTTGTTTTGTAAACTTAAACCTTGTTTACTTGGCCCGTGTTAGCCTTTAAGTCTGACGCGCTTGATGTAGAGGATTACTCCATTAGGCAGTGTATTAATAATAATGATAATGAATTTATACATCTATATGAAAAACTCCATAAGGATATAACATAAACTATCAACAATTATTTTTGAGGTGATGGGAATTATAGGAGAGTCACTGCTATAGACAGTTCTGTATTATTTTTTATAAAATTTTAAAATTGATTTTAGAGAGAGAAAGGAAGAAATAGAGAGAGAAATACCAATGTGAGAAATATCAATTGGCTGCCTACCACATGCACCCTGACCAGGGTTATGTGCCCTGACCAGGAATCAAACCCACGCCCCTTTGGTGCATGGAATCATGCTCCAACCAACTGAGCCACACCAGCCAGGGCTTCTTTAATTTTTTTCTTAAGTTGTGTTTTTATTGGTTTTAGAGAGAGAGGAAGGGAGAGATAGAGATTGAAACATTGATCAGCTGCCTCCCCCCGCCCCTCCCGCCACTGGGGATTGAGTCCGCAACCCAGGCATGTGCCCTGACTGGGGATCAAACTGGTGACCTCTTGGTTCATGGGTCGACACTAAACCACTGAGTAATACCAGCTGGGCTTATTTAACTTTTTAAATAAATAATTTGTAGTAGCCGAAACTGGTTTGGCTCAGTGGATACAGCGTCGGCCTGTGGACTGAAAGGTCCCAGGTTCGATTCCGGTCAAGGGCATGTACCTGGGTTGCGGGCACATCCCCAGTAGGAGATGTGCAGGAGGCAGCTGATCGATGTTTCTCTCTCATCGATGTTTCTAACTCTCTATCTCTCTCCCTTCCTCTCTGTAAAAAATCAATAAAATATATTTAAAAAAAATTTGTAGTAATCATAATTACAAAATATGATATAGTAATTTGAGGTTCACTCCAGCTCCAGGGTAAATTAATAAGCAAGATTTCTAAATGTTTGTGGAAGCAAATCTCATTTCTTCCCGTTCTTTTCTGTGCGAACCTGTATGTCTCAGTTCACCCATTTCTAAAATGGGGAACTCAACAGTCCCTGCCTCAGTGAAATTAAGAGGGCAGACACGCAGAGAGCAGCACAGAACCTGGTCCCAGGGCAGGCCCAATGTAATGTGAATGCCTTCCCTTCCCTCCTGACCCCTTCTGGTTGGGCCTTTAAGGGTGGAGGATGGCTGGGAATCTAGCATCTGAGGTGGCATGTGGGGCCATACCTGGGGTCCTGGTCAAAGGTAAACTGTGTTCCTTGACCATGGTGCACATCCCAATCCACGATAAGGACCCTGTGAGCGGAAGAGAGGGGAGCACTGTATAAGATAATCCAGGTGCACCTGGGAAATGCCCACACCAGGCTACCCCACCTGTGCCACCCCCATCACCCTTGCCCTGCTATTTGCTGCTGACCTCTGAATGCCATGCTTCTGTTGAGCATAGCGAGCAGCCACGGCCACATGGTTGAACATGCAATATCCATCCATAAGACTGTGCTGGGCGTGGTGTCCCGGAGGCCTAAGCAGGACAGGGAAAGCCACAGATTGGGGGTTACTCCTCTGCAGAGGACTCTCCCTTGCTCTCTAATCCTGTTCGACCACCAACTCCCCCAGTGCTGATACCTGCCAATCTGCCAGGAACTGAGGAACTGAGGCCCTTAGACTCTCACCCCCAGTTTTCTGCTCTCTCTTTGAAGGAAACTTGATAATGCTTCTTAAAATTATCAGTGTATACACCTCCACACCCAGTCATTTTGCTCCTGGGGACTTAGCCCACAGCTTATACAGCAAAAAAGGTAAAATCACATGTTTATAAATGGACAACAAAATTTGCTGCAGCATTTTTTGGAAACAGTAAATGATTGGGGAGAATCAAAATGCCCAACAGTAGGGAGCTGGTTAACTTATTGTTGCACAGTGGAGTTCTACATGGGTCTAAGCTGTACAGTTAGAGAATAGCTTGTCGAAATGTCTAAGTGGAAAATGCATGGTATGGAAGGGAGCATCTTGAATGCTGGAGCACTCCCCTAAAATAGGGGAGGCAGGAGAAAGGCTCCATCTTCTGCCTTTCATCAGTTCTGGGATGCCAACAATGATAAGATGTACTGTGATTTTTACATGCCAACAACAAAGCAGAAAATGCTGCCAACTGAATGCTAAGATGTCACTGTTTACAAGATGCATCTGAATTTCAAGATGTTACCAATATGAAAAATATGCATCTCAGAATCAACGAAATATGGTATTTACTCCATGAAAATGCAGACTATTTCTGGGGCACACGAGTTACTGGTTACAGTGACTACCTCCAGGACAGGAAGCATGTGTCTGGGGAACGGGGGTGGGAGGGAGACTTTTTCTTGTATGCCCATTTGTATCTTAAGCACGTAAATACACTACCCATTGCAAATATACTACCCATTATCAATACATTTTACACTTGAGGGAAGAATTTTTTTTTTAATGTAGAAACCCAAATGCTGGCAGGTCCTACCTGACAATAGCCATGCCATTCCGGATTTCAGCCCCCAGGATCGCATCCACCAGCCTGAGGACAGAGCCTGAGGCCAGGCAGGCACAGGTGTATGAGTTCTGGAGAGACAGTGGGGAGCCAGAGAGGGAGTGAGGGAGAGACCAGCCCTGTCCACTCAGTTGCTTCCCCTAGGGTGGGGTAGGTGTGGGGATGGGCATTCCCAGGATTGCTACCACCCTCTGCTGTCACAGTTCTCATCCATACCGGATGCAGATAAACTGAGTCATAGGTGTCTGCTAGGACGCGGAGTTCTCCCTCATTCATGTATTGGGTCGTCTCCATCAGATCTATATATTCTAGGCTGGGGATACAGACAGGGAAGATGAGATTCAAGGGCCTGCCTCCCTCCTTGGCCCTGAGTTGGGGCCCTGTTTCCTCCCCAGCTAAGCCCTTTATGCACCAGACCCCTGGACAAGTCAGACTTCCTAAATTACAAGCTGTTTACACACCAGATTGTAATAAGAACAATAGCTCATCAGGCTGATGATATGTCAGGCACCATTCTAAGCACCCAACATATATCAAACCCTCTTGAGGAACTTGTATTTACCAGTCCCTCAGTTATTGGCAATGACAATGAGATTCAGAGAAGTTTAGCAACTTGCCCAAAGCCACAGAGCCCATGAGCTTTGTTCCCAAAGCATCCAATCTGCCCTGGTGGGCCCAAGCTAGCTTCCTCCCCGTCCCTACAAGGTTACCAAGAATTCACCTGTGAACCAACATCAGCTCCTCCTTTTCAGCAAACCGGGCCTGAGGAGACACAAGGAACAAAGGGCTAAGGTACGGCCCCAAACCAGGTCCTGCCAGCTCCTACCCTCCACCCAAGGTGCTGGCCGGGGAACTCACCTGAAAGGACACACAGCGGTCCAGGAGGCCCTCCTGGATCAGCTGTTCCTTGATGGCAAGGAGCCGCTCGGGGCCTTCAGGGAAGCTGGGTTGACAGAGATAAGACATGAACACACAGACATATATAGGGACACTGGTGAGCAACACAGCTGGTCCTGCATTCTTCTCCATCCAACACTGCACACCAGAAACTTCGAAGTACCTGTTGGCTCTGTTCTCACAATATATCCAGAGCCTGCCCCTCTCCTCATCACCCCCACTGCTGCTACCATAATCGCCCACCTGGGTTACTACAGTCAGCTCCTTATTGGCCTTCCTACTTCTTTTGAAAAATATATGTATTTTATTGACTTTTTACAGAGAGGAAGAGAGAGGGGATAGAGAGTTAGAAACATCAATGAGAGAGAAACATCGATCAGCTGCCTCCTGCACACCCCCCACTGGGGATGTGCCCACAATCAAGCTACATGCCCTTGACTGGAATCGAACCTGGGACCCTTCAGTCCACAGGCTGATACTCTATCCACTGAGCCAAACCGGTTAGGGCCGGCCTTCCTACTTCTGCCCTCACTCCCCCAACAGTTCTTTCTTCCCACAGTAGGCAGACATTGGTTAAAATCCAAATCAGATCATGTCCCATCTAAACTCAAAACTTTCTCATGGCTCCCATCTCATCGAGTCACGTACTGTTCAGCTAGCTTTCCCCCCTGCTCCCACATTATCTTCATGACTCACTCCCTCACCTCCTTCAGATATCAGCAAGGCCTTCCCTGACCATCCTATTCCAAACTGAAGAGTTCCTCCATTGTTCTTTTTGCTACTTTCCCTCCTGCTTCAGTGTTTCTGCGCATCACAGAACTTTTGTTTCGAACACACTGTATCATTTACTTTCTTTTACTATCTGTTTTCTCCCTCAAAATTGTAATCTTCACAAACACTAGGGTTTCTTTGTTTTGTCTACTGCCATGTCCCTGAAGTCCTTTGCCACTCTGAGTCTTCCATTGGGATAGAGGAGATAGATACTGAATTGGTAAACACGTAAGTATAATGAGCAAACAATGACATGAGCTAGGAAGATCTCAAAGATCAAGTGTATGAGGTGTGGGGGGAGTAGCCAGGCATAGCCCTCTCTGAGAGTCTCCTTGAGATGTGAATGTTAACTGGGAGAAGAGAAGGCAGAAACAAATCTCTGGAAAAGGGATTGGCCAGGGCAAAGACCCGGATAGAGTTGAGGGAATGCCTGGCATGTGGGAAGAGCAGCAAGGGGTCCAGTGTGAGTGAAGTGAAGTGAAACGAATGAGGAAGAGGACTGGCTGATGAAGTCACCAAGGTGATGTGGAGCCAGGTCACGTGGAACCTAAGAGGCCAAAATGAAGAATTTGACCTTTACCTTGAAGGATTTTAAGAAAGAGAACATCATTTTACACATATTTTTTTAGGCTGCTGTGTGGAAAACAGACAGCATGGATGAGAGTGGAAACAGGGAACAAGTGAAGGGGCCTTTGCAAGTTTAGGTGAGTGATGATGGTGGTGGCAGTGAGGAGAAGTCAGATATGGGATACATTTTGCACACAGAGACAAAAGAATTTGTTGATGGATTACATGTGTGAGCAAATGGGAGGTGTAATTCTTCCGTTTCAGCAGAAATGTCTCTTTTTCAAGGATACCTTCTGGGAACACTGGATGCTAGTCTAAAATCCTTATTAAACACTTTTGAAGCCCCTGGTCTTAAGTCCTCCCATATTAAACACTTCATTCTGCTGTTGGCTGTTTAATGATCTGCTCTCCTACTCACCTATCAGCTCCTTGAGAAGGGACCCTGTCTGTCTTGTCCAACACATTTGTATCACCAACTCCTGGCACACAGCAGGCACTTAATAAATGTTTGCTGGCTAATGAAAAGAACCCCTTCAAACCTGAGCCCCACCTCCCTAAGTCATCTGCTGCCAGTCTCTAGGCTAGTGCAAGAAAGGATCTGTTCTTGCTAATGGCTCTAAGTGTGCATATTTGTGTGGTTTGGGGACAGCTGGAGGAGTCAAGTCTTACCTGTCATCCCAAAGGCAGTGGAAGTCATTTAGCTGCTCATCAAACACCAGGCCAGTACCAGAGAGTGTCTTGGTCTCAGTGGTCAGATCCTGCAGGGAAAAAAATGGGAGACACTGATCCATTTAGGGCCTGAGTCAGAGGTAACATCCCGTAATGTCCAAGATGGAGAACCTCAGGGTTTTGATAGTCACAGAAGGCTAAATTATGGCCAGGCCTCTCTCACCAGCACTTGCATCCCCTGGATTAGTTCTTGCTCTGCTGCTTGGCTGAGCTTCTTCATTCTGCCTTTCTTCTTCACCTCTGCTAGTCTGGGGCTGGAGCGGAGTCCAGTACCCTTCTTAACACCTGGCTTCTGCCAAACAGAGAGAAAGGTCAGAGTCCACTGCACGGCCCACTGCTCCCCTTCCCCCTCATCAGGACGGATCTGGGGCCTCACCGAGATGATGCTGGAATCCTGGGGGGGCGTCTGGGGGTTGTGTATACTCCTTCGCTGCTTAGTTGTGGTGGAATCCTGGCCGGTGGAGGTCATGGTCGGGGAGACTTCACCCCTGACGCGGTTCTAGGGGGTGCGGTGGAGGTGACTGAAGGGACTTGGTATCCTGAGGACCCTACACCCCAGCCTCCTCCCAGGCCCCGCCTCTTATGCTATCCTATCACACACTGCCTTCCAAAACTCCCTCTCTCTCAAGGCTCTCTCCCTCCACTGGGATGTCTATTCCACCTGGTCCCGCCCATTCCACTAGACTCCACCCCTTTAACACTATTCTTTCTTCTTTCAAAGTTTGGCCCTTTCAAAAAGCAATTAATCTCCCTAGATTCAGTCTATTCGAGGGCCTGATCTTTCCAACAAATCACGCCCCTTCCGCTCTACCAAGCCATTCCCCAGATTCTTTCCTTCCTCTCAGCCTCGCCTGGACCCCACCTCTTCACAGACTTGCCCTTTCCACCCAATCCCCCGGGAAAATCACCCACCCTTTCACTCAGCCAGCCCCAGCGCGGCCCCGACCCCACTCCACCCTGCACGATCCACTTAACTCCACCCCTTATCCGCCGCCCAGCACCTTCCACTAGGCCAGATTCCGTCCCTAACGTTTCAACCAGCACCGCTCCTCAGGGGACGGCCCCTTTCCTCCACCAAACCCCACCCCCCGCCCAAACCCTACCCCCGACGTTTTCCCAAACCCCTTCGGCCAGATTCCAGCCACCGCCCGCCAACCCCCGCCCCCTCCGCAATGCCAACCAATCCCTTCAGCTCCACACAGAAGGCACAGCGCGGCCCTTCCCTCAAACCCCGCCCAGGACTAGCGCTGCTCCATTCCCCGCCACCTGTGAGGGGCTGCGGGTGCCGAGGCCCGCGTTACCATTGGGCCGGTTCTCTCTACTGACCGCCCTGATCCCGCCCACAGCCTCAGGGCCGCGCTCCCTGAGAGCTACACCTCCCTCCCCTTCACCAACGGCCGGCGGCGACGTCATCACGCGACGCGGGTCGTGCTGCGCATGCGCAGAGCGCGTCGCCCGCGGCTCCACACAACGCTTAGGCTCCCGCCCGCCCCTCCCCCAGCTGCCGCCGCCTTTGTTCCGACTGTCCGGGCCGCTGTCCCTCCGTCCTCGTCCAGTCACCTTAGGAGCCCTCAGGACCCACGACAACTGTGCCTTGAGGTGACTCAAGAGAGCAAACGAGCAAGCAAACGAGGGAGTTAGGCAAAGGCGGCTTCTCTGCTTCTCGCGGCTTTCCCGCGCTGCGCGCGCTGATGACGTGGCGCGGGCGGGCTGGGGCCCGGTGGAAACTCGAAGGTGGCTGGTGGCAGTCAAGTGGGAGTGGTGATGATGCTAAATGTAAAGATTTTCTTTTTTTAAAATATATTTGTATTGATTTCAGGGAGGAAGGGAAAGGGAGAGAGAGACAGGAACATCAATGATGAGAGACAGTCATTGATTGGCTGCCTCCACGCCCCACACTGGGGATGTGCCCTGACCGGGAATCAAACGGATGGATGCTCAACCACTGAAACCACACGGATCGGGCAGGTGGTGAATCAATGTTCACGAAGGTGTGTCGTGAGCAAGGGAACATCCCTGAAAGGAATAACTCACACTTGATTGTGTCTTTTCACAATGCTAGGCTTATTAGGGGAGACTTTCCCCATAAGTAAGTCAATAGATGTACACGCAGGTGACACGCAGAAAGGGGGAGCTTAAGCCGTAGAGCAGCAGAGCAAGCCCCACGAAGCCCCAATCACCCCGAAGCCCCAATCACCCGTGGCCTCCAGGGTTAGAGAGGCGCACGCTGGTCCCAAGCCAGGCGTTGGCAGTGGCTTCCAGGGTCTGGGGGAACCGAGGTCCTGTTCGGCTCCGAGCTGACACGAGGTACAGCCAAGGTGACTCGTGGAAGGGTTGAAGCTCTGAGTTTTTATAGCCCGCAATGGGCGGCGGTCCCACTCATATCGGTGTCCAGATGGAGTCCTTATCAGAGTTCAGACTTTCCGTTTTGCAGTCCCATCCCAAGGGCATTCCGTTACCTCATTGCCTCAGTCTTGGGCATATTGCCACTTGACATAACCATCATGGCTGACAGAGACTCCATATTGGACTGTCAGACATTGTCCAGAAAGTCTGTTCTGCTCTTGCTCTACATGAGGTGGTGCACAGGAAGCGCTCACCAAGTGTTACTAATATTCTGCTGCAGAAATGGTGGGGCGGAAGGAGTCTTAATAGGGCAAATAACTGTAACGATAGCAAGTATTATGTGTCAGGCATTGTTGTAAGCCACAATTCTGTGAGGTAGTTCCCATTATTAAGGCTGCTTTGCAGATAAGGAAACTGAGGTTACATGACTTAGCCATGTGACCTTGGGCAAGTTACTGAACATCTCCGTGCTTCAGTTTCCTCATCTGGAAAATTGTGATAAAACAGTGCCCAGGGGCAGAATGGACCCGGGGAGGGGTGTGTTCTTGAACAGTAGCTCTCCCTGTCAGCCTCCACCCGGTAACCTCTGCTTCCAAGTGTGTGCCTAGGGGAAGGGGGAGTTAGTTGCCCCTTTGAGGGATGGGGGCGGAGGCGGGGAGGGACAATTCCCTCCCACCCCGGGTCTAAATAGCCCCGCAGGAGGCGGGTTTGTCCTCCTAATCTCCCTTTCTCATTCTTCACCATTTCCTACCGGGCTGTAGGCTGGGGCCGGAAAGATAAGCGGTCTGGGGTTCAGCTTCGCTGACTAACAAACAGATTGACAGCCCCACTACCCACTAGCCAGGCCCTCTGACCCTCTTGAAAACTCTAGTTTCAGCCTTCTTTTCCCTTCCACTCTCTTACTGCCTGAACAAGTCTTTTGTCCCAGTGGAAGAGAGCCACAGCCCTAAGACCTTTAAACCTCCACATACACCAAAGAAAACACAATGATGCAATATACACTGAAGAACACTCTGAGATTGTGATGCCTGCAAAGTAATAGAGTAGGGAGTCTTGCAAGGGTCAAGGCCCATTTTTCTGTACAGTTGGAAGAGAGTAGAGGTCGGCAAACTTTTTCTACGAAGGACCAGATAGTAATATTTTAGTCTGTGTAGGCCACATATAGCCTCTGGTATCTTCTTGCTTTCCCTTTAAAAATACAAAAAGTGGCTTTAGCCTGGCTTTAGCCTGAAGGCTCTAGTTTGCTGATCCCTGCACTAGAGTGTCAGTCTTTGGTTTCCTTCTAGGGACTAAGTGCAGAAGTTCCATGCTTACTGAGGAGAGGTGTTCCTTTTGTGTGAGGTGTGAGGACGGATTCATGGACAGGGTCCCGTCACTTCTGGTGTTTTTCTACTGGGTCAAGTAAGTGTCCCTGTACCGAGTGAGGCTAAGGATTCCTACAGTTTCTGTAATGTTCTTCCACTGAGCCAAGCAAGGGTTTCTATACAGGACAAGACGGATGTTTTTAGAAAGCTCCAGACTATGGGTTCCCATAAACACTCAGGATGGGGCTTCTTAGACTGCATTATGAAAGGTTCCTATGACAGGTTGGTGCAGTTCAGGCTCAATACAGGTGTTTCTGTACAGCTTCAGAGCTGTGTTCATATAGAACGTAAGATCAGGTATTCATGTCCAGATTCAGTCAAAAGGTTATTATTAATTGAGTTAAATTAGGCTACCTGATGTAACCATTGATGGCGAACCTATGACACCTGTGTCAGAGGTGACACGCGAACTCATTTTTTTGGTTGATTTTTCTTTGTTAAATGGCATTTAAATATATAAAATAAATATCAAAAATATGTCTTTGTTTTACTATGGTTGCAAATATCAAAAAATTTCTATATGTGACACGGCACCAGAGTTAAGTTAGGGCTTTTCAAAATGCTGACACGCTGAGCTCAAAAGGTTCGCCATCACTGTTTGTAACAAACAAACCCAGAATCTCAGGGGCTTAACAAGTAAATGTTTGTTTCTCGCTCATACAAAATCCAATGTGAATATTTACTACTGGTTATTCATGGACCCAGGCAATTTCGATTTTGTGACTCTGCTCTCCTTTGAGTCCTTGGACTTATCACTATTCAGGTGGTAGATGAGAAAGGGAGGATTCCATGAGAGGTTTTTTGTTTTTGTTAATTCTTACCAGAGGATATTTTTCCATTGATTCTTAGAGAGAGTGGGAGGGAAGGAGAGAAAGAGAGAGAGAGAGGGAGAGAGAGAGAGAGGGAGAGAGAGAGAGAGGGAGAGAGAGAGAGGTGAGGGAAATATCAGTGTGAAAGATACACATCAATCCCTTGCCTCCTGTAACTGGTGCTGGGGTTCAAACCTAAACCCAGGTGCATGCCCTTGACTTGGAATCGAACCCGAGACCCTTTAGTGCACAGGCCCATGCTCTAACTACTAAACCACCAGCCAGGGCCCATGAGAGGTTCCTATGGGCCAGGCCTGGAAGTTGCGTATGTCACTCTGCTCACTCCATTGATCAGAACTGTCACATGTCCACCTGTCATTGCAAGGGAGGCTGGGAAAGTGAGTGAGTCAGGAAGAAAGGGGAGCAGGGTTGAAAAGCCTATAGCAGTGCCTGCTACAGGATTCTGTAGACTCCCCAGAGCTACGCTGTTTCATGTGGTGGCCACTAGCCACAGTCAAGACAGTGGCTCCTGTACAAGGGGAGGGCAAGGCTTCCAGACCAAGGCTGTCAGAGAGAGTCACATCAGGGCTTCCTATACAGGGTCAGGAGGGTGTTTCCAGAGGGCAAGGTTAGGGGTTCCTATGACCGATCAGGTCAGAGATCCCCGAAACGGGTCAAGTTACGGATTTCTGTTGGAAGTCAGGGAAAGGTTTCTGCAGAATCCAGCACTGTTATAGGCAAGGCTTCCTGTAGAGGGTCAAAGCCATGGAGCCAGCACAGGGTTAGATCAGCAAGCCCTGCACAGTGTCTGGGCAGGAGGTCCTGTGCCAGGTGAGGCTGTCGGTGCCTATATAGGACGAGGTCTGAACGTAAAGCAGGGGGTCAGGACAGGTGCCGCCCACAGATTCAGGAAAGGTTTTCCATGTAAGTTCAAGATTGAAGTTCACATTGAGAGTTGGATCACAGGTTCCTGTGGACTCTGTGGGGTAGGGTGTGAGGTAGGGATTGTTGTGCAGAGTGGCGTCAGGGGTCATTGTCAACGATGTAAGCAAGGCTCCTGAACTCAATCAGGGTTCCCAAAGAGTTTACAGATGGGGATTTCTTTGTTTGAAATATATTTTTAAAGATTTCAGAGAGGAGGGGAGAGGGATAGAAACATCAATGGTAAGAGAGAATTTCTGCAGACAGAGTCAGGGAGGTGGTTTCAGAACTAGATTTTAAGATGAGCAAAGTGGTTGTAAAATGCTACCTGGACGGCAGGGCTGCAGTGCAGTGTGAGGACAGAGCTGTCCCGTCCAAGGTCCAGGCAGGATTCCTATAGAGATGGAGTCCCATGAAGAGGGTCAGGCCAGGCATTTCTATAAGGGTGGGTGGGGCAGGCTCTGTCCTGCCACCAGGGAAGGCGGAGGTTCCTGTGCTGTGGTGGCAGGACAGGGTGCCTCCTGTAGAAGGTGAGGACCGGTGATCCTGCTCAGGGTCAGGATGGGTTTCCTGTTGATTAGAGAAAGGGTTCCCTTAGAGCTCCAGTATCAGAGAGGCTCCTGAACCAGGCTAGGGCTGCCGTTTTGATAGGAGTTGGGGATCCGGGGCTCCTGAACACGGCGGGTCCAGGGGCCTGTCCAGCACAGGTTCTGCAAGAGGTTTCTGTTCAAGACGAGGACAGGGGCTCCCACAGGATGAGGAGGCTGGGCTTCTGTGGAGCGGCCAGGGAAGTTCTGGACAATCCCTGTCATGAGCAGGGACTACTGTGGTTCTTCAGTGGGCCAGTGTGCTGACGAGCTGAAGGGATGCTGTTCTGTTGATGCTCAACCACTGAGCCACACCAGCCGGACTAGAGTATTTTTTCAGGTGTTCATGAAGGAAAGCACCTGAGCCTTCCGCTGTTGTTGACCACAGTGAGCACCCAGGAAACGGTGCTGCTTGCGGTTAGGAGCCTCTGGGCAGTGTGGAGGCTACACCACGGAGCCTGGCTCAGCCCTGTGCCACCAGCTGTGTGGCCTTGGGAGAGACGCTTAACCTGTCTGGGTTAGGATGTCACCTAACTCCGTGCATGCTCCAGTGTGAGGGTTTGTTCCGTGGAAGAACACATCCCAGGTGAGTGGGTGCAATGGGGAGGGAGTTGGCACTGTGGGGAGCTCACCACCTATGGGGTCTA